CTCTGCAACCTTGGCTTTAAAGGAAAATACCCTCATTTGTTTTGCACTATTTGTTTGCCACCTTTGTTAGGACCATTTGAACCACCATTACCATTTGATTTCCATCTTGAACTGTTGCATATGACACATTTATCAAGATTGGCGTCCTCGTTTTGAAACAACATGTAACTGTTGGGACATGCATCCCACGTCTCATACGTGAAGCCCAAATCTGTTGTGACCTTTTGAGCTTTATAATATGAGTCCGGCAGTTTCACACCCAACGAGAACGCCTCATTCAATAACTCAAGCAACATGTCAACAGACTTGTCCGTCCACTGATTAAGCACCTTCAAATGTAGAAGTCGAACAATGAATGACAAAGATGTGAACTTTTGACAACCCGGATACAATTCACTTTGTGCATCTTGAAGAAGTTTGAAATACTTTGCAGTCTCTGCATTTGGACCAAGCTGGGGTTCAGATGCATGGGGATCAGGCCCTTGTGGTTCATTACCCTCAACACTTGTACCGGCATATGGATTTCCCATGGCCCCTTGTATCATTCCAACCATATCGTCCCCAATGTCTAAATTAGCCAATGTTTCATTCTCTTGATTACCATGCAGAGATACGTAAGATTCCTCATGATTAATCCAATGTTTGTACTTTTTTAAAAAACCATTTAAAATCAGATGCTCCCGTACACCCTCTCGCACAAGATGGTATCGATTCTCACATTTTCTACACGGACAACTAATCATCGAACCTTCAACCCTATTGGTGTAGGCAAACACAATGAATTGATCAATCCCATTAATGTATTCCCTCGACATCCTATTTGGCAAATCAATCCAACTCTTATCCATTATCTGTACTTCCCTCATATGTGTTTCCCACTATTAATTTGCTTCAGGCAAACTTACTAGGAGATATATATCTCACATGCAAAACAAATATGCCCTAGAAAAAAATATAATTACAACAAATGTAAGAGTCATAATGAGATGTAAGGGTAAAAATCTGTTGTGACCTTTTGAGTTTTATTTGATTTTAATAATTACTACATTTTGAATCATGTTCCCATAAAATCACAGCCTCTAAGGTCCAACATGATATTCATGAAAGAAAAACCAAGATGCATATTTCGAAGAATTACCAACCAGATGGGGTAAGGAAGAAGAAGAATTACCTACCTCTGTATCAAGGTTATAGGATGAAAATGAGGAGCAACTGGACGAAGGTGCGTGTAAAGGATGTGCTTCTGTTGCAGCAGGATGTAAGCTCTCTGTCATTAAAGATTTGCTTGCATTAATAAATTAAATATACAATAGAGCTATTTTTTTATTTTTTTTTCTTTTCTTTTCATTATGGCTTTTTATCAAACATGTTTAATTCAAAAAAATTGTGAACGTAAAAAAAGGAAATCAAAATGAAATAGAAGCTGTGTTTTCAAAAAAATGAAAACAAAAATCGAAAACATAGCCAAACACACTCCCTCGTTAATCTTTTTACAAATCTAAGATCCAAACACAAAAAAAAGTTCCTGGTTGTAAGGAGAGATTGCACTTGTCATTGGTTAATGTACTGCACCAACTAAAATAAAAATATTTTTGCAACAAACACAAACAAAGGACATGATTTCATGACATCAAAAAGAAAAAGCAGCCCAGAACAATTTTTGGGATTCAACTATGTAACTAGAGGCAGAAGTATCGAGCAAAAAAGTGTGAGAGAATTAAAATTACCTCCAAACCAGGCACAAAATAGATCCACACATGTCCCAAAACAGTTATACACATTTCAATACACTTTTTACACACTTTTTACCTTAAGGGTTGTTTCTAGCATTGTTCAATATATATGTATATAAACATGTATGCAATAGAAAAGAAGGAACCTCATCCATAAATCATTACCTTAAAGTAGTGGATTGCCCCCTGTAAGAAACCACCATGAGCAGGATCATGAAAATGACCAATATTTACAAGCCATACCAATACACAAATACCTGCAATAACCTACAAAGAAGAACAAGACAAAGAGGAGGAAAAATCAGGAATGCACACATATAAGCCCACACACATCTACAACCATGTAAACTAAGCATTTCAAATAACAAAATCCAATTATTATAACCATATGGCATGGACTGATGAACTTTTTTTGAGTTGATTTGTCTTCAACTACATATTATGGATATGTTACGCACGTTAAATGTATGTATGCTTATTTTGGAGAAATTATAATGAATCCTGATTTAAGAAGACAACTCTTGCATTTTACGATGTGATTTAGATATTTGTTAGTTTCAAATGTAAACCGAGCCAATCAATTATCAGTTATCACCAATACCACCAAGCATCCTTGTCAGTTATAAGTTAGGGTTTAGAGTTTAGTGTACTTATAAGTTCCTTGATTTTGCTCTCAATGCTTGGTTTGTGCAAGTGCAAGAGCATAACCATCCTCACATTCTTCTTTTGCAAATTGGAAACACCTTTTGCAAGCTTCCTGGTGGCCGTTTGAAGCCTGGAGAAAATGGTATATAATTTATAGTGTGCCTTCTCTCTCTCTCTCTCTCTCAGATGTTAGGATATTGCTTTCTACTTTTTGTAGAAATTGAAGGCTTGAAAAGGAAATTGTCAAGCAAACTTGGTGCTAATTCTCCTTCATTGCAACCGAATTGGCAGGTTTGTTCTTTCATTACCTTTGATAATCAAGCATATGCTGCTATTAGCTGTTAGTTTGAGTGGTATCTCCCGCCCCTAAAGAGAGATGTCTGGGTTCAAATCCCAATTAGACACAAGTTTGTGTGTTATTATTTATTAAATGAGGAGGCAGAAATTAGCTTCTAGCTAAATTTTCAACAACTGGGAAGGAAACAGTAAATACCAAGTTGGTCTGATTGACTATCATCCTTTTTAATTGGGGAAATTATAAGATAAAAAAGCTAATCCCTGAGAAAATAGGCATCCACCATGTTCCAGCTGATTAGCTTTTTATTTATATTTTTTGTTCTTGTTTTCCTTTGTTGCTCTCCATCTAGGAGAAGTAACTGTATTCCTGATTCACCAAAAAAAAACTGTGTTCCTGATTCGAGAGATATCCTAGTTGCTCTTTTTCTATCATCAAGAAAGAATTGTATTGCCCTGCTTGATTTTCATGTTGACAAGGAACATGAAGGGATACATTATTGTGGGGGTTTAATTGTGCTTATTTTGTCACATTTTGTTGCAGATTGGCGAGTGTGTGGCTATCTGGTGGAGGCCAAACTTTGAAACTATAATGTACCCCTATTTCCCTCCACATATCACAAAGCCTAAGGTAGTAGAGGATCTTTGGACTTCCCAGTGACACATGGAATAAATTTGTTTTTTCGCTGATTGAGTTGTCTTGAAATCAGCTGTCCTGAAGAGGAATTTTCAATGCAGGAGTGTAAGAAGCTTTTCCTTGTTCACTTGTCTGAAAGAGAGTACTTCGCAGTACCCAAAAATTTGAAACTACTGGCCGTTCCCCTGTTTGAGCTCTATGATAATGTTCAGGTGTGTTGACATTTAAGCTTCAATTTTTATTCTTTTTCAATTTTTAAGGAAAGTCAATTCACAAGAGAAATTTGAAAAAATAAAAATAAAAAATCAAAGAAGTATAAAACTAGAATTCAATTGAATGAAAATAGAAAAAAAGAATGGTCAAATTAAAGAGGGATACAAGTTCATATGACAGCCCAATTTAACTTTAGAAATGTATATACATAAGAATTTCAATTAATGTATGTAGGAGTATTTAAATTTAGCATAGTGTGAATCACACGTAATGAATCAAATCTACACATTTTAAAATTTGAATTTTTTTTTTTAAATATTAAGTTTAATTGATAGAGGAAGCTCCCAACAAAAAAACAAACTTCAATACAATTAACATCTAAATCCACTTTGCTAACTAAAAAACTAAATGATTCATGTATAACCACAAGAATAGATCAAAGAATTTCAATCACTACTTAAAAAAAAAAAAAAAAAAAGAAGAAAAAAGAGAAGAAGAAAAGGGAAGAGAACTCACATATCATCCATGAACTTGATAGAAACCAAGACACTGGTAATGAGAACCAATGCACATTGAAGGAATTGATCGGCAAAAGTGGTTGGCTGTGCACGAACCGATCAAGAAAAATGTAGGCGACAACAAAGCACGATGAGCTACAATTGGTGAACTTGAAGATAAGAGATGAATGTCTTGCCTCGTCAGTCGTCGTTCACCCTCGTCACGCGTCGCTGCTGCTCGTCACTCCGGCGAAGGCCATCGTTCACCGTTCACCGTTCACCCTCATCACTCTGCGAAGGTCGTCGCCGTCGGAGATTGGGAATTTTGGGATCAATGGATTTTGATTTGGGATTTTAGGGATTTTGGGACATATGACCGCGAATGGGCCACCGAAATGAGCGGGATATGAAAAAAAACTTTTTTGCGACCGGAAAATTTAACCGTCACAAATGGTACATCATTAACAAATAAAACGACGTCATTTTTACCCAGAGCATTTGCGATGGGCCTCTGCCGTCACAGATGATCCACCATTTGCGACGGTAACGTTTTACCGTCGCTAAAGAATATTTTTTGCGACGGTATACCGTGCGTCGCAACTGTTCCTACATTTTTCTTTTAATTTCATTAGCGACGGAAGTCACACCCGTCGCAGAAGCCCATTTTTATCGACGGTAAATAAACCCCGTCGCAAAATAAATTTTTGGCGACAGAAATTACACTGCGTCGCAAAAAAACCACTTTTTGCGACGGCAGGTACCCCGTCGCAAAAAGCTCCATGTTATTTGACAGGTTTTCCTGTAGTGTGTCGAGGTAATAGAACCTATGGGGTAGTTGTGGGGACAATTTTTGAATGACAACACGTGGCCGAGATGACACCGAAGTGTCAGCCGAGGTGTCACATGTCTTGGTCATGACACCGAGATGATCTTAGCTAGGCCGAGATTATCTGCGAGGAAATCGGAATCCGGAATAAGTGGATAAGGGACAAGAGTCCTAGAATGGGAGAGAACTTCAGTTTGGATAAAGATAAGACTCTTAGAGAGTTTATCCCAATCCTACTGGGAGTCCAAAATTAGTAGTAATCCTAAGTCCATTGAAGTTAGGCTTCTATTGGGATTAGGAAAGTGTTGGCTATAAAATAGAGGCACCCACATGGGTTTAATGTATGCTTTTATGCTTTGAATAGTGAGTTAAGCATTTTTGTTATTTTTGAGAGATAACTGATTTGATCGTCGGAGTGCCCCCGGATGGACGAACCACCGCTGGAATCTCTTCTTTTTGTGACAGGTCGTTCGGGCTTAATCTATTTTGCCAGTGTTCTTCAGCTGAGTGCTTGATTGGCAGTGTGGTCGGAAATTGACACACACACATACTTTCCAAAAGTTGAACATGTATGGTAATCCTATGGTTTAATTTTGATGATATTTAAAATATTATGGAATAAATTGTAATTTTTTTTAATATATTTACATTCTTTAACACATAATATTATCTGTTTAAAATATATATTGTATGATATATTTATTATAAATATTATTTAAATCAAAATTACTGTACAAGATCTGATTTTACAAAAATATTTTATCAAATTTACTATTCACGTTTTGAAAAATACAGTTGGTCACTATTCATCTTTTGACAAATTTGATATTGATTAGTTGTATTTTTTTTACAAATGTGATATTGGTGAGTTGTTTTCTTTTGACAAAATTTATATACTCGTATGGGATGGTTGGTTATTTTTATTAGAATGTATCTAAAATGTCTATAATAATTACAGAGATTTTAAAAGATGAATATATTTATATAAATGTTATTTAAAGAAATTTTACTATACATACAAATATTTTAATAAAAAATTTACTGTGTAATTAAATATTGTAATAGAGGAGTTATTATGCAAATTAATGTACACTCTTTGTTTTTTACGAGAAATTGTTGAAAAAATTGAATTACTATTTATTGAAAGCGATTGTTGTCTATATTTTCAATCACTTCGGCTGCCATATTTGAAAATGATTGGTGCTCATGCCCCGCGTGGTAGCGTGCCCGAACTATAGCGTCTTCAGAGTCAGAAGAGAAGCACCTCTTCTCCAATGGATACATGTTTTAGCTATACAAGGAGTATTTTGGTTTCAAAAAAATAAGAAGTAATGAAGTGAAGGAGAGAAAATTTTGTGATATTGAATTCTTCTCAAAAATTGTATTGTGCCTTATTGAGTTGTATTTTTTGTGAGAAAATTTGTTGAGAATTTGAACAAAATTGTAAAAGAGTTTTCTATCCCTTATTCATATTATTCTTGTAAAAAGAGAGAGTTTTGTGAGTAATTTTTTGGAATAACATCACTTGGATTATGCGTGACTAAGCACCAGATTCAAAACTAGTTGGGATATTTTTGAGAGTGATGTTTGAGATAAAATCACTTGGTGAGATGTGACTAGGCACCGGATTCTAAACTAGCTTGAGTGATCAGGATTGGGCACTTGTTGTAAAAGTTCACTAGCATCCGTGAAACAAATAGTGTATTACTATTTGAAGAATAATGGAAAATTCCCGAGGAGGATACTTGGAGAGTGGATATAGACTTAGGTTAAGCTGAACCACTATAAATCGCTGAGTTTGTTTTCTCTTTCCTTTACTCATTTTATTTTATTACTCTATTTTATATTATTGAGCAAATTTATTTATCTATCATTTGGGTTAAATTTTTAATTTAGCAATTTATTTATAAATCCAATTCACCTCGTTTTTAGGTTGCCTACCTAAAATAATAATGTTTAATTAAATAAATTATAGCATAAATTTTTTATTATGAAAATATTCATAATGTCTTCAATAAGTTATTTAGTTGAATAAGTTATCACAAAAATATAAGACTCTTTCCTCCATACATAATTATTTCAACCAAACAAAAAAAAATATTACAAATTATAATTTAAGAAAATCTCACTTTTTTTAATCAAATAAACTAAAAAATGTAAAATAAGTTAAAATTTTAAGTTACAACCAAACATCATTATCAATCAACTGTTTTTAAGCAAAAATAAGCTAAATAAATGACTTAAAAGTGTTACTTAGGGGTGTAACTTTTAAATTTTTTCTGCTCTCTCAATTAAAATGAATAAATTAGGCAGTGATATGCAGAGAAGAAACCAATTAAAAATATACAATACATTGAAGCCTGGCCTCAAATCAAATAAAAAGCCAAATGAAATTAAAAAAGTCATGTTAAAAAAGTTTCAACACAAAAAAAATTGGTTAAAAAAGCAAATGCCAACCGAACTTAAGGGTTTTTGTTAACAAAGGCCCTAAGGGCACTTGTTAAAGATTTATTAAATACACTTAACTATCTCCCCTATCATAGAAAAGATAAAACACAATAAATATATTTTGCTAGAGACTAAATTATCCTTTTATTTAATTTCTTCTATTTTAACATTATATACTTTTATAAAGGAGCTTTTTTTTTTTTTATCAAAAAACAAAATAAATACCTTTATTTTTAAATAACATTTCGTGATTTTTTTTTTTAATTTTAAATACTATCTATTTTTAATTATAATTAAATTATATGGTTTAAGAAAAATAAAGGATTTAATTTTGTGCTTTTGTTTTAAATTTTTATGTCCTTTATTTTTATAAAAAAATATAAAAAAAATTATATGCTCTTCATTTTTATTTTTGTCAATTTTTAGATTCATTTTCTTTATACCATATAATTTAATTATGATTGAAAATAGATAGCATTCAAATTTTTTAAAAAAAATCCTCGAAATGTTATTTAAAAATAAAGGCATTTATTTTGCTTTTATGATAAAAAAAATTTTAAAAAAAAAACTTCATTATAAAAGTATATAATGTTAAAATAGAAGAAATTAAATAAAAGGATAATTTAGTCTCTAGCAAAATATATTTATTGTGTTTTATCTTTTCTATGATAGGGGAGATAGTTAAGTATATTTAATAAATCTTTAACAAGTGCCCTTAGGGCCTTTGTTAACAAAAACCCTTAAGTTCGGTTGGCATTTGCTTTTTTAGCCAATTTTTTTGTGTTGAAACTTTTTTAACATGACTTTTTTAATTTCATTTGGTTTTTTATTTGAATTTTTTTGATTTTTATGAGAGAAAAAATGTAATGATTATGGGTAAAAAATAATATTTTGTCTTATTAATTTATATAACCTATTTTATCTTTTTGTGATTATTTAGTTCCAAAATATTACCCAAACCATGGCCAATGTTATTGTTGTTATATAAAAAGGTAGTAGTTATGCATTAATTAGGCAAATTAAATCTAGTTTACTGACCACGTTAATTGAGAAATTTTTGTATGTCAATAGGGTATCATGTGGCACTATCTTCCATTAATCACAAATGTACATGTCCACTATTATTCTCCAAACACTCAATATAAATATAGTGAACCCTACTGTCAAAACCAATCATAATAATAGAAGGTACCACACGATATGTACCTTCTCCGCATACAAAAATTTC